GAAATAATTTTTAATTAATTTGTCATTTTTTTTATTCTATTTTTTAAGTATACTCGTATTATTGTATATAAAAAAAGTTTGGGGAAAAAAAAAAATAAAAACGAAATCTAAGCTGACAATCGAAAGACCTTATCAACAGCAGCACAAAACCGCTGCTAAAATACAAAAGATCGTTGCCAGAAATGCCCTGTAAAATTCTAGATATTAGTTGTACAAAAATGAACCAAAGCACTATGTCTAAAAACCAAGACTAAGGATTTTTGTAGGTGAGCCCAATATTAGACATGAATTACAAAGGAAAACATTTATGGAGTAATTCCTTGTTCTAAAATGTGAAATCAATCAAAAAATCATTTTCATCGAGTGTGAGTAGCAAATACATTTATTCTATTTAAATAAAAGACTTTGTACAGATAGCACAAAACCTGGCTTTAAGAAGACTGTTTAAGATTCCATGGTATATTAGATCAACAGACATACATAGAGATCTTAGGATTGACTCAGTGAAAAACTATATCAAAGACAGAGCTCTAAAATTATTCACTAAAATTGATACGCTACTTAACCCCGCCCTAACTATCCTCAAGTCCACTTCTGGACTCTCAGGAAGATATGCTGATTTAAGGTCTGTCATCAACCAAAAGTCAAATAAATGATATGATTTTTTAGCCTAGTTAAAGCCTAGTGTAGGGTAGAGATAAGCCTTCCAGCCATTATAGAGTAAATGTGCGTAATAGCACTAACTCAAGAAGAAGAATTAAGAAGTCAAGAAGAAGAGATTTTGTAGAAAGTGGGTAACTCTTACTAACTGTGACAGAAGAAAGCCGCAACCGATTATCAAATCATTAAAACTTGACTTTATTTCTAAAATGTTAAGCTTTTCATATAAGTTGAAGAGATTAAAAACTGATTAATAATTAGGAAAGACAACAACAATAAGAAGGAAGACAATAGCAAAACAATAAACAGAAATAGAAATAGAAATAAAAATAAAAATAAGTGCAAATGGTTGCTGCTCTTCAATGGCAAACTGTTTCGTTTTAACTGTTCTCTAGTGTGTTTGTCTGTCTGTCCGTATGTCTGCGTGTTAGTCTCCAGTAAACGAGTGTGTTTCAGAGCTTTTAGTGTTCCGTTTTTTATTCCAATAATGAAAACTTTGCTGTCACTTGACGCATTGACTTCATTTTTTTTCCTGTTGATTATTTTCATAGAGAAGTGAGTGGTGGAGATGTATGGTAGGTATGGGTGGGTGTATATGGTATATGGAACATACCATACATTGTTTTTTCGTTTTGTTATTTTTTTACAGTGAAGTATTGTGAAGCAGTGTTTCTGGTGATATGTTGATGTATCTATGCAAATGTATTGATATGCTCAGCTGATGGTAGCTAATGCCACACAAAGCATTCAACATAGCCGCGCACGTATTTATGTTGTAGTAAAAGTACCGGAAACGAACAGACAAACGGATATAAAACAAATACAAATGGCAGCAGCGTTCAAATGGCTCAAAAGTTTTTGTTTGTAATCATATTAAATTTATGCTATATGAAGCTACTTTCTTACCAATTCAGTAGTATTGCTCAGTAGTATTGAATTCCTTTCCCTGCTTTCCATGCAGCAATAAATGGAGTTATAACGTCTATAGCAGCAGCGTCAGTTGTGGACATAAAATCCCCGTAGTGAACGCGAATTTATATGGACTTTTTTCGTGTTTTTTTTCGTAAATATTACTTTTGATACTGATTTTGTTGGTATAATTTGTTTTTTTATTTTAAAATATTTTTTATTATTATTTATTTTCATTACTTTTTTGACAGGAATCCTGTAAAGAGTTGGATTTTAATTTTATATTTATACACATATTTATACACATATTTATACACATATTTATACACATATAGATATGGATATGGATATGTTGTAATTGTTATTGTTATTGTTGTTGTTATATTTTTTCGATGTGATGTCGCTGATGGGTTTGGTTTCAGCATTGTACACATTTCATTTAAAAATTTTTTTAAGCGATATAAAAATGAATTGGATGAACAACAAGCAAGGACATGCTAAGAGTAGTGTGATGGGTGATGGGTGGGAGCAGAGCAAAAATGAATATGCTGGTTATTTTTATGCCCTGTTCAGTGATGGGACAGTCTTTTTTCGTTTTTAGTTGGATTTAAAAATTTCTCATATAAATGCAAGTAGTTGTATGTGAATCCTGTCGAATTTGTGTATAAGAATATGTGTGTCCTGTGTATAAACCTGGTACTGATTAACAAGCGAGAAAAATGCACCCTTTTAACTTTATTATTTTATTTTATTTTATTTTATTAAAATTTTTTGCAGTATTTTGTTTGTTGTGAATGCGGCTAAAGGCGGGCAGAGTTAGTGGAGTGGGCTTGTTTTGGACATAAAAGCAACAGAATCAGCAGCAGTAACAGCGGCAGGATCACCATCAGCCGCCCTTTTTTCGGACACTTCATAATATAAGCACACATCTATAATTTTTAATGTTATATATATATATATATACATACAGTGCATTTTTAATGTATTTTTTTCGGCCAATGCAAAAAATTCTAAAGAGGAATGGAAACGTTAGTGGCACATATGAAATGTTGTGAAGAGTAGAGATTTTATATTATACTTTTTTATTTCTCGTACATTTTTATTTCATATCGGTGGGCGTTGATATTTTTGCAATTATGTGGTGTGACTACAGTTTTTAACCCCTGTCCTGTCCTGTTCTGCTCTGTTCTGTAGTAGCAGATAAAACCCCAAATACTTGAAACAGGCGTTGTCAGATGATGGCAGTAGTAACGGCAGCGGCAGCGGTCAACTTCGCTTAATCAGCAAAATTTTAATTTATTTTTATTAATAAAAAAAATGAAGTAAAATAATAATAAAGCTGAAATCAGAATATTCAAAAAAAGCACTTCATGATTACAAACGAAAAATTCTGGGACTTGGGATGCTAGATTAAAATTTTCTACATTAATTTTAATATTAATATTAAAATTCTAATTAAATATGTTAAGTATCCTCAAGTGAAATTTCATTTTTTGTTTTTTGGAGTAAATGTAATAAAACCTTTATAAATGAAACGCAAAACAATTAACTAAATGTAACATACTTCAAATAATTTTAGTTATTTGATTGGACATTTCATTTATCTTATTTGTTACAAAGTAGAATATATATTTAAGCTTTTTAAATATTGCAAATATTTTTAGCTGTCACTAATATAAGAAAATTAAAAAGTCATAATACATAAAACCCTTGGAAAACAGTTCGGTAAGTCGGAACGAAATAAACTTGATGTCTTCCATTCAACCATTTATTGGCATTCACATGTATCGGTAAGGTCAACCACTTCCCGTAAAAACTGTTAGTAGTAACAAATCGCATGAGCACATGACCTACTTAGATTATCAAAAAATAAAACAACAGGTCCGGGTCCGAAAAGCTCATTAATACTAAAACAGAAAGCTTTAAGTAGTTTGTTGTACCGTCCTTTTGAAACGACATATCTCATGAACTTCACACCAAAAAAAATAAAAATTACGTGAATGTACCGATTAGAATTTTCAGTTAGTATCACACAATCATCATTTACACAAAAATACGAAACTATCACATATTCAAACCTAATGTCACACCACACACTCATTTTGGATGCAATGGTCTTTTGAAAATTTTGACATTTCAATATCATTAATTACTACATTTTCTTAAAATCCTACATCGAATCACGATATTTCTTTGTAAAACAGGAGGAAGAAATTTCAACTTTGCAGACAATTCAGGCTGGAGTGCCACAAGGCAGAGTCTTGGAACCTGTGTTATACTTACTCTTCACTAACGACTTGCCTACCATCATTGGTACTGACATTGGAACTTTCGCTGATGATACTGTGATAATTGCTACAGACGAAAATCACCAGTTAGCATCCACCAAACTTCAGCGAGCGCTAGATGACATTTCCCAGTGGCATAAAACCTGGAGAATAAAAACCAAATGAGTCTTCAGAAATAACCTTCACACTGAGAAAGAAAAATTCCCCACCGGTACGCCTTAACGATGTGTTAATCCCTCAATCTACCCAAGCGAAATATATACGAATACACTTCGACACGAAAAGAAAAGCGCTTGGAGTCAGATTGCGGGAGCTCTACTGGATATTGAACAAAAGTTCAAAGCTCTCAGTCGAAAATAAACTTCCTATCTACAAAGCTATACTCAAACTAATCTGGACATATGGCATGGAACTCTGAGGAACTGCTGCATCTTCAAATATTGAGATTATCCAACGTTTTCAATCAAAAACCCTTAGATTAATCTTAGATGCTCCTAGATATATAACAAATGAATGTATACATCGCGATCTCAACGTTCCTGTAGTTAAGGATGTTATAAAAAGCCAAGCCAGTAAACACAAAGCAGAATTATAGCAGAAGGAAGAACGTTCACACGCCTCCGCAAACAAACGCCATTGGAACTTTAATGTGTCCGACTTCAACAGACGGATATACTACTGAGCACAGTCCCTTCAAGCTCACAAAAATTTTAAGTATTTAGTCACTTTAAAATATTGTTTATTGTCTATTCCGAATTGACAGATCGCAATATAAGAACATAAATTTACAAAAAAAAAATATCATTAGATGTCAGAGGCAACAGTATTGCTTGTGGAGATATCCACTAAATATCCATATGATATTATCGATCAAATGTGAATAAATTCCTCATGCAAATCAATTCTACGATAGTAACGACACTGAATTACTTTTCCTCTGCTTGTGATTTTTAGACAATATTTTTTAATATATTATAAATTGTTATTCAGAATTTTTTATAGAAAAATTAATAGACAATTAACATTAAATGAGTTATATTTTTATTTGATTCTTTTTTTAACAATATGTTTAAGCTTTAATCCAAACTCAAGAAATTTATAATAAAAAAACTAGGTTTTAAGTTCAGCAATGTAAAGGTAATTAAATAAATAATTCATATAACAAAATTATAATTATCACAATAAAAAATTTAACAAATGTTAAATTCAACTTAAATTTTAGTTCCAAGCATATCCCATAGGAACCGGTAACATTTCTAACTATTCTGCAATGTTGCAATGTAAGGACGTTCTGCAGTTGGACATTCGAAGCGTTCGAATATTGAAAAGCTTCCAGCTTTTTTTTGACCTACAGGCTCCAACATATTGTTCCACAAAGAATTTGCAGCAGCCGCATGACCTTTTTGACTGAAATGGAAACAATCACTTGCGAAGAAGCGTAAGTCCACGTCGCCAGTTCTCATAGTGGGCATTGTTATATTTGCAGTGAATGGTTGAAAGACAACAGCAAAGTTTTCTGTATTAAATTCAGGCAAGGAGGCCACGTATTCTTCCACTGCATGCCAACTGTTGACATTATGCGCAGCCACTTCCAGTTCGACTGCAGTGATAAGATCACTAAATATACAGTGACAGCCGATGGTATGCATAGCACTACAAACCAATGGAACATTACTCATTTTATGCAACGATGTTGCCATATTTGGCGCCGGCACTAAATTTACTAGAAGGCGTGGCACATTGTCACGTAAAATAGTCAAACAGCTTCTTAGATCCATTTCGTGATGCTTTAGAAAGGTTGATATATGTTCGTAATGACACATATCAGAGCATATATCATTATTTCCAACAAATATTGTAAGTAATTTCCAATGGTTCACCATGTCTACGTGCGGATCATGTCGCATACGATCGATTAGTACGCGTGCCTGAAAAGGCAAGTCTCGTGACATTACCATAGGTTCGGCAATATTGAGACGTGAAACGCTATCTACAGTTAAGCCATTTTCTGTTGAATAACCATACAGATTTGGATTAAACACTTTCAATATATTGGGCAGTGTAAGGAAGGAGCGCCAATCTCCATGACCGCCGCCCGTAAACGAAATACCACGAAATTCATTTAATATGTGTACTATGTTATCTGATATTTCACCGTTACCTGCAGACAACGAATCACCCAGTGAAGCAACGATGTCAATATCACCAGGTCGCAGGCGATTAATGGAAGTTGGAGTTGTGAACGAACGGGCATTACTTGACAAGTCGCAAGGAAATTTCTCTGCACGTGACATACGGCGCTGCAACTTACCTTGTTTATCATTAATATCGTACAGATTGTCCATATTATTGAAGGCTTGGTTCATTGTCATATGGCGCAACATCACGAAAAGCCCGCGCAAACCATCCAATTCTGTAACTAGACGTTTTCCGCTGAAGGCATCACTCACATCAGATATGACGCGACGCAAACTAAATGAATTGCTTGGTGCAAAGTTATCCTCTCCAGCTCTGAGGTCGAAGAGACCTGCAGCACTGTATTTCATACCAAGAGACAACAGAAGTAGTAATAAATAAACTTTCGACAACATTTTAAGTAACAAGCAATATTCAATGCCTTAGTGCAAGATTATTTTATTTTATTTTATTTTGTATTTTTCAGTTGGAGTGAATTGATATCTCTTTCATATAATGTATAATCCTTGAGTAGTTTCGAAACAAAACAAAATTTAGATATTTAAGTGGATTATGTTGTGTACAATTAAAGGTCCTTGAGCACCTTAACATGAATCAAGCACCGATTTTGCGAAATACTATTTAGAACGTTCTAATCGCGACTTCGTTTCGGACACTACTACGATTTTGAGAAGAGATACGACACTACTTAACGCGTTCTCGACCATTTAACTAATGAATAGTGAGTGAAACATATTTACAAACAAAAACAAAAGTATCACAAAAAATTGTAATAATTTTTAAGACAAAAAATTATTGTCAATTTGCCACAGACAATGAATAATATATTTTTAATGCCGCCACGATTTTCAAAATTGTTTTTTTGTTTTTTTGTTTTTATGTGTTTAACGTTTATTTAGTAAAACATTATTATTTATAAACAAAAACAATGTTGAAAATATTATGTCCGTCCGAAAAATTGACTGTAGCACTTAATTTGGTATTAATGTATGTTTATAGTGAGAACTTGACTTAAAAGTATTGACCGAGACATCAGCTCACATATTTTCAACAAACATTGGAACGGATGGGCAAACGGACAGACGTTCAGTTCAGGTAAAAACCACCTTGCAGTACCTACAATCGAACTGCAAAATCGACAAACAGACAGACAAACACACACAGACGAAGTAACAGCCACAAGCGCCCATAATACTTAAGACAAAAATCTACATATTGACATGTACTGAATGTACGGAAAGGCAGTTGCCCATTTGTTTAGCGTAAAATCTAGAGTTCTCCGGGTTCAAAGTAATTGTGTGTATTGTAATCACCTTGCAGCATCTTGTCAAGACGTTAAGCTGCGGTTAAGATTTGCTCACAACACAACACTTTAATATTATAAATTTGAATTCGACTTTTAGTTTCTACACTTTAATCTTTTACACTAGCAAAAGAGGGGCTGGCTGGGTACGTTCCGTAGTCGTCGGGCGACTGTAATCTGGAAACCAAGTCGCTATGGCTATGGCTATGGCTATGGCTATGTTAATGACACATTAAAGGTTATAGGCAATTGTCACGCGTGATTTTTTGTGCATTGAGCATTTCGCTATTTGTGGTATTTGCTTTTAGCAAATCTACAGTTTCGTTTCAATTGAATATATTTTTATATTTTTATATTCGTATTTTAAAAACAATAAACAATAATCGGAAATGATTTGTACATTCGCAAAACACAACTAAGAACAATAAAAACAAATATAAAATAAAAATTATGCGGAACTTCACATTAACATGAACTGAGTAATAAAGTACCGGAATATTTATTATAATAAAAAAAATTATTATTATTAAGATATTAACTTTTATGGGCAAATAAACTGGCAGTTTTGATGCATAAAATAAAAATATATAGTTAAAATGCCACAAATGTCAATAGATCACAAGGTTACTGCACTTTGGAAAAGTTCAATTAGAGAAAACAACATACATACATACATATGTACCGAAAAAATTCGACTGAATGAAATCCCAAAGTACTTTACACAGGAATATTGTTCGGGAGAAATAACTAAAAATGGATCTGCAATTTATAATAAAATATTCCACTGCTATTTCTACATGTGATTTGCCCAAAAATCGTCTTAGGTTCGAAATAACCTAAGATTTGTGTAATAAGTTTGAATACTGCAAAAGCAGAGACTCATTTGGAACATAACTGGCGTTCTCCTAACATACAACTTGATCAGCTTCTTACTCATTTATTGTTTGAATAATTAATTAAGAACTGCGCAGGATATTATTGCTCAATCTGTAAAAGAACAAAATGTAGATCATTGGTTCATAACGTGAGACCCACACCTCACAAGGAGTAGTATTATTAGTAGTTGTGCTATATAGTTTCTAACTGCAATGAATATACAAAAAGGCACAATGATTTTTGCTTCAATTCCATAGTGATTTCGTTAATATGCGCTAAAGGAACTAGAAGGCCACTCTTTAGAATTCTAGTTCGAACATGTCACGAAAACAGTTAGAAAACATTGGTCTAAACTATGTCCAAAATTTATTTAACGTTGTCCTTACAAGTATATTGGATTGCTTAGAGAAGAATTTTGTTCTTTTCTATCATAGAATATATATGTACTTTTAACATCCAAATTTCCAATATCATAACATGTTTAAAATTGCTAAGTATAAAACATGTGTGGTTGTCCGTAATAGGTTTTGGTGCCTTATCAAATATTAAACGCGGAAAGTCCACTTCCGGCAAATATATTTTATTTTTTTACTATCAAAAATGTTAACATGCTTTTCTAGGAAAAGATTTTTAATGCCTATTCTGTTAAGACTCCGATCTGGTGTCGCCATGGACCTTAATGGTCTACGCATGGCCTTTTTGATCTGCCAGCATAAGCTAACGTGATGGTTTTATACCACAACATAGGTATAAGGTCTTGGAGAAAACTTTTTGATGTATGTATATCAAAACAAAAATTTAAGGTTGTAAAGTTTTTAAGATATTAACTAATCAAATTCAACAATTCACTTCAACAAAAAAAAGCAGAATTGAACAATAGAAAGGGCACACTGTTCCATTAACCCATTAAGTACCAGGCAATTTCCGACTTTGAATTTTACGGCGAAATTTCTATAGTAAACAGTAAAATAAATCAAGTTTAAGTAAATGAGAAGAGTTTAATATTTATTTGAAAGATTACCTACTTTATCTTTACCTAAAATATATAAAATACTCTTTGAATATTAAAAAATATTAAAAGGCAGCCGTGTGCTGCATCACACGGTGGTCCGCAATGGGGTAAGCCGATGTGTCTCAATCTTTGTAAATCGTCTAAAGCTTTTAAAATTTAAATGCGATATATTACTGCCATAAAACTGATTATTTTTTTTGTTATTATTTTAGGTTATACAGGTTTTTGGAGCTATGTTATACAGAGCGTCATAGTGACGCTAAATTTAAAATCGTCGTTATTAAATCAAAAAATTAAAATTGTTGTTAAGGGCCATGTTACGCAGAGTGTCTCGGGCATGACAAAATTCACTCTCTCCGGCTATGCCGAAAATGCATGTTATGCAGAGTGTCACATCAGTATTGCCAATTTCGTATTTTTACTACTTCTTGGTACTTCTTGGTTGTGCCAAAATTTAAAAGGAAATTTAGATATGCTCACTTTCAATTTGCCCCCAAAAATAACTAGCAAGAAAAAACTAATAGAGGCTGTAATAAAGTTAATTTATTATTATATTATCTTATAATAATTGTTAACAGTACTTACGCCTTTCTTTAAAATCGGAAAGTGTAATAATTATATTATAGCGATTTATAAAAAAAAGATTGTATTGCTTACTGCCTTTTCTTCTCCAAAACGTACTAGAATTGTGGTAATTTGCTCCTAAAAGACGCAAATTTTGAAAACTATTACTAAACAACACTGTTTTGCCTTAATGCCGGGGCACAAACACGGTTGCCACTTGAAAATTTTTTTCTGTACCAAAATTGGTTTAAAAAGGTACCATTTCTGTAAAAAAAAGTCCAAAATTTTTTTGGACCTTTTTGTTTTCTCGTTCTGTGTTTTTCATAGTGTTATAAATGAACAAAATATAAAATAGTGCAAAGTTGCATTTATAAAAAAAATTAATTGGAAATATCCACAATAAAGTTGGGTCGTCAAAAATGTACCATTTTTTGAACGTGAGTACCAACGAAAAAAAAAAAGTACCAATTTTGGTACTAAAGTACCATAAGTGGCAACCGTGGGCACAAATACGTCGGCTCTCACGCCGGAGTTTGAACGACGGTTTCTTCTCTCATTCGCAAATTTAAAATTTGTATTAAAAACAACAACAATTGTACTTAGCCGTGTCCGAGACACTCTGCACCAAAAAGTACCAAAATAGTAGTATAAGAACGAAATTGATAACCATCATATGACTCCTTTTTTAACATTTTAACATCTTTTTTGGTTAAGATCAAAAAGAATCCGAAATTCCCGTGACCATCTTTCAATTTCACGAAAAAAAAAACACGAAAACAAATATTAATTTCCAAACAACGAAATATAATGTAGTTTTTGATTTCTGAAAAACAGTTTCTAATTGATTGACTAAACTTAATCCATATTCTTTGCCAATAAATGTCAGTTTTGACATATGTGTGAACACATCTATATACCTTGAAAGTAAAACATAATGTTTGATATGAAATTTGTGCAGTTGCAGTTGCAGTTGTAGTTTAATAATTATAGGCGGCTTATTGTTTGTGCGTAAAGTTCAATAAAAAGTCACTCAAAAAAAAGATGGGTAAAGAACGTATTACTCTAAGTAAGCGCCAAATGATCGCAAGCAGTGAAATGGGTGGAAAATCCAAACCCGACAAACGTAGGATTGCCGCTGGTACGAAACGCAAATGGAATGAAACTTCCGCTGCAATTGGTAAAAATTCTGAACGCATGGCAATTTCAACTGAAATTGGTAAAAAATCCAAGTTGAGGAAACTTGGCATTCCAATAGGTGAGAAATCCATGCAGAAGGAACTTCATATTGCAATTAGTGAAAAATCCAAGCAAGAGAAAATTTCGAAGGCAATCGGTGAAATTGTTACTGCCATTGGTGAGAAATCCAAGCAGGACAAACTTGAAGCTCATCAGTTTGCAACCAGTAAAAAACGCAAGCGGGATGAAATTTCGACTGTAATTGGTAAAAAATGCAAGTTGGAAAAATTTGACATTGCAGTCGGTGAGGAGTTCAAAAAGGAGGAAGTAGAGATTGCTGTTTGTAAACACGTTCTTCCCAAATCTGACTCGAAACTGGAAGAAATCAATGCGAGATTGGATAAATTAGAATGCAGCATAAAAAAATTGAACTTTTTTGAAACAATCAACAATATAAGAATGTCATCTACTATGCCGAAAATGCCGCAATTCATCACGATTGAAGAGCAGAAAAAAAATGACTCTAGATCTATATATGTAGGAAACATTAGTTATATGACAACAATTGAGGAAGTTGCACTACATTTCGTAGATTGTGGCGTTATTAGTAGGATCACTATTCCACGTAATAGAACAAGTAATGCCCGAATCCGATATGCATTTGTCGAATTTACGAAGGCTCAGTTTGCTAACAAAGCTTTAGAGTTACACATGTCAACTTTAGGCGGAAGATCAATTAGAGTGATGAAGAAACGAAC